TGGGGGTCCGGGGATCCCGGTGGGGTTCTCCCGGTTGCTGTTATGCAGCCTGTCGGGAGGGGATTCCTGCCTGCGCCTCCGGGCTGGTAAACCGGCGGGCAGGGCTTCAGTCACCTGTCCTGCGTTGTTTGCAAGCGCCGACTTCTTCAGAGCAGTGGTAGATGCTGCCCAGAGCATCGTCTGAAGGAAACTTCACAAGAGTCCAAGAGTGCTTCAGGGAAGACGAATTGTTTTATAGAACGGTCTTATTCTGACCAGTTGAATGGGTATGGCCGCAAAAGCACTGCGGAGATCTGCACATAATGTATAAATTCATCACTGTGAAAATTCAAAACTCTTTCTGGTAAAGATTATCCCGGGTGGCGTGCCAAGCAAGCCCTGTCTCCACAGTATGCTTCCAGTGTCAGCTTTACTCGGTTTACGGGGCTGTCTTGCAAGGTATGCAACCAGGCTGCTTTTTTCCCTTGATGGGACAGAGCTATTCCTACGTGTTTGTTAGACGGATCAGCAGTTACCCGCCTTCTGGTACGGCAGGGCTGTAAGCTTGTTGACTTGCTGGAGGTGTCTGTCTGTGCTTCCTCAGAGCCTGCATTTCGTAGCCTGAACAACTAGAGCAATGGGATGAAAAAGAATGTGGCAGCCTGCAAGCGAAGCGAAGCAGCTAGTTACAACTGCAGAGCAAGTAACTGATATTGATGTGTAAAGGTAGTGGTTCCTACAAGAAAGAAACTAAGGAATGCATCATTTCATTATTATCTGTTAATAGCTAGTAACAGTTACATACTTAGCTGAGTAATGAAGAAATGTTTACTCAACTAAGGAGTCATCAAAAAAATACATCATGCCCATTTGAAAATCCAGGAGGTAGCCCCTTTTGAAATCATGGTGCAAAATAGGACAAGAAAAAGTAGTTACCTCAGACGAGTGGATGGAGACAGTGCTGGCAGTTACCAGCCTGGAAAGCTCTCTTCTGGGCTCAGAACGCTTTCCCGGTTTGTCCCTGCTTTCCACTTTGGCTCTCTTACATAAACCAGTATTGCTACTTTTGCTTTCGGGTTACTTCTGATAGCCTTGCGTGGTTACAAAGAAAAAGATGAAGACTAGAACTCCTCTGTTTTTCAGTTTTACAGGATGTCGTGTGTGCCCTCAATCTGGAAATGTCCCAGGGGAGTACAAGAGCTGCCCGCCAATGCTGTGGCTGGGGTGACTGCTAGATGTCTTGCTCCAGCGTGTGACTGGGACACTGCTGGCGAGGCTGCACGAGCGCTGAGAAGGGCTTGTGGATCCCACAGGTGAAGTAGAGGTTTAGACTAAGCAGCATGGATATGGTTGAATGTTCACGTGGCCGTAAATGCTGGGCTGCAGTCTCTGCCCTGCGGCCTGGCTGTTGCCAGCCCTGGCTGAGGCTGCCTGTGGTGTTTACAGCCTGACGTGAGCCAACTCTTCGCTGTGCCCAGAGGTTGTGCTGGTGATCTGAAATTCAACAGCCATAGTTCCAGCTAAAGACTCAGCTGCTCTCTAAACTTTTCTGTTTGTCTGTCAGGTTGAACGTGGAAAGCCTGTTAATTTCCAGGAGTGCTCACTGTCACAATGAAGCCAGATTTTGGTAGTCATTACTGAATTATGCTTTTATTTTCTTAAGATTGGCTCCTCTTGTTCCCTAGCAATGTTGCTATCGGTGCTGCTGGCAGCAGCTGCTTCTTGTTATGTTCTGCCAGCTGTTTATTGAGAACAGGCTTCTATACCACGCTTAACTCTGAAAATAACTGAGTTGCGTTCACAGAATTACAGAATGTTAGGGGTTG